GTCGGCAAAATAAAAGGAACTGTAACAAGAATAAAGAATATTGCACCCATTTGTAGTAGCAGTCACTGCGTCCTGCATTGCCACGCCCTTGTCTCAAAAAATAATCCATCGGCTTTAAAGAAAGTTCTCGATCAAGCCGTACAAATTGTTAATTAGGTTAAATCACGTCCACTCCAGTCGAGGCTTTTTAAAAAAGCGTGTGCAGAAGTAAAGAGGTTGGAAGTCAGCATCAATCACTTTTGCTACAAACGGAAGTAAGATGGCTTTCAAAAGAAAAAGTTTTATCAGGATTATTTGAATTGCGCAACGAGCAACGAAAACCCTATTTTTGTATCTGTTAGTACGCTTGTTGAAATATTGTATGATGAGCAATGGTTGATGAAATTGACTTACTTAGTTGATATATTCGATAAACTCAACGTAATCTGCCAGTTCCTACTAGAAAGAACGGTACAGTAAAAGACAAAATATCGTTTCTTAAAAACAAAATTTGCTTCTGGGTAGAATGTGTGGAACAAAAAATATTACTAATGTTTTACTCTTTTGAATAACTTCCTGGGAAGAATGAGTTACGAGTAACCTCAGATGTGGAAAAAACATAATTGAACATTTAATTAACCTCGAAAAACCCTCGAAAGATTATTTCCCGGAGAAGTTACAGGACATTGACAGGGTTCAGAGTCCATTCACAAAACAAATCAAGCAATCGATGCTAACTGTGTCAGAGTATGTGTCATTAAGTGCTCATCCTTTCTAAAACAAAAATTCGAATCAGAAGATTCTAATCTGAATAACTTTTGGATTGCACTTAGAGATGAATACCCCGAAATCGTTGAAAAAGCTATCATGGTTCTACTTCCTTTTGTACTGACTTACCGATGCGAAACTGGTTTTTCAGCTTACGCTTATACCAAAAAGAAGTTCAGAAATAGGCTGGATGCAGCTCCGGATGTTCGTATTCAATTATGTCCGATTTTCCTAGGTTTTGGAATGAAGGTGACCTTGATCAGTCTCCAAATTTTTGGTATGTGTCCCAGTGCTAAACTTGCCCTGAGAATTATACACATTTTTTTCAAAGAACGTTCGGTCCCTTTTGAAGCATTACTGGGTATATGCCATCAGGTCCCGGCGACTTATAGGGTTGAAATGCCCATTCAATTTTCTCCAGATCTCTTATGGTTCAAAAGTTACCAATACGATCCCATTAAAAAAGTGGCCACTCTGTATATATAATTTCTCACCTAAAACGTATCTTGTCGAAGGCGGGTTCGAACTCTTGACCATTGGATCGGAGATGTGAATCAGCCACATTATCACTGAGCCAATTACCGATTTCATAAAAAATAGACGAATGTTTCATAAAATTTTACATTAAAAATTTATTGACTTGTTCTCCATGTACTAACTTTCAGATGAAAAAAAAATGTAAAAAAATGCAGAAACACATATTGGTTTGATAAAAATTCATCGGAAAATTTTCAAAAGTCATGAAAATGTGGTGAAGGCTATAACAAATCTCCTCACGAAGAGGCCATCTGTTGGGCTTATCGAGGAGGTATTAGTTACGTGACAGGCAGGGCGATATATCATTTTGTCTTCTACTTTATACCACTTCAGAATCAGTCATATTTCATAAACAGTGACGATAAAAATTAATAACCGGAAACAAATCTCGGTAACTGATCATGCTGAGGTTACGAGGCACTACCTACTAACCTAAAATTTTCTTTGTTTATCATGGCCTTGAAGGTGTGAGGAGATATTTATAAAAACTCATTTGCTACAGTTCAGCGACTCCACATTTCATACAAGGACGTTCGTTATACCGACAGTCATTTCGGTTGCATGATTTCACGCAACTTTCACTGAATTGTTTTGACAAAGGCATAGAGACGGCGAGGACAATATTGCGATCTATTTTATTTCTATACAATTCACGGAAATTGTTCATACTCAAGGCTATGTGAGCAAAGATTGTGTAGATTGTAAAAAGAATCAAACATTTTTCCAGCCTCGCAAGGCATACCTACGGCCTCTTGTAAATAACCTCAAACATTTTTCCAGCCTCGCTAGGCATACCTACCGCCTCTTGTAAATAACCTCCAAATATATTCGAGGCTAGGAATAAGAAAAATTATATATCTTGACAATGGCACTGATGGGATAAGTTTTTGAAGTACTTTCTCAATAGACAATATTCTGCAATCCCGTTACCACAAACAAATCTTTTTTTTTTCGCCTCCACAAGATATTCAGCTACTATTATAGACAGGTTGAGCTAGCTTCTGGTTTGTCTTTGAATCGATATAGAGGTAGTATTCTAGGTTAGTCTTATTGTCCGTGTCATCTTCGGTTTCATCAGATTGGAGCCTAGCTTCCTTACCCTTGTAGCTGAGTTTTTGTAAGAGAGAAAAATGGGTTCCCGACTAGGTAGATGTTGGCGGTATGAAAGTCCTTAGGCACCAGTACCGCCCTTCACGGTGTACCCGTACCTGGCTGGGGTGGGATGGATGAAAAAATCGTTCATCCGTTAACGGGGGACATGAGGGCCTCATTCGACAGAGTGTCGGGGCCTTCTATATCGGGAGGGGTGGTCTACAGCATAATCTATAGCTTCCCTAACTAAAATAGTCTTATTGTGTTTCGATTCTACCTTATATCATTGTCCATATGATGCAAAGACAAAACGTCTTCCACACTCCACCTCGTAGCTCGTATGTATGTTCATTTGAATGAGTAATAATAAGTTAATCTTTTCTGTTGAAGATGGAGCCACTATGTCCTTTCCACATATAAAACTATCTTTGTGTTTAGTCTATATACAATGTAACCTCAATACTTGAAGTTGCGATTGGTGGGCTGTCACGATGACAGTCAAGGCATACCGGTTCACTACAGAGGAGACGGGAGTGAGTTTACAGATGTTGTATATTATATTTTTTTTATTTGGGCGCCAGGTAAGTTGAAATGCCAATAGATTTCACTAATATCTTTACCAATTCTCCAACTTACCAAGAGAAAAGAAATAAAATTGACCAGCCACCATTCCAATAGATCAGTATATTGATAACGTGAAAATAAAATTAGCACAGGTTAAAAAAA